TACACACATAAAAAGTGTAATCTATAGTTATGACTTAACCCAATCCCATTTGCTGATATTGGAAACTTACCAGAAAAATGCATTCCATTGTTAGCAATAAAGCTCAAAAAGTGCCCACCGTGGGATTAGAGATGCTCACATCTCTCAAAAACACTTTATACTGTATATCATTATATATAGGTTATTATTTGCAGCACTTCCAAAATGCATATTCAAATACTCCTATACTCTAATAAGACTACAATATATTTTTTTACAGGTTAGCTTTTCGTTAACGAGGTATTTTCAAAATACTCTCTCCTGGCTCAAAATAGTTAGATTTCTTAAGTACCAATTATTTTGAAACAGAAGAAGTGCACACTATTATGTAGAAGTATATATTTAGAGAACTATATATAGTTCGATTTTGTGTGAATATATTATTAAGTTTCTTTATGACATGTGATCCAATTAGAATGCTTTCTTAACTCAAATTAAAAATTAAAAAAAAAAAACTTCTAACCATTTTTCTGTAATAACTGACCTAATCCATTGGGAGGGGATTGGTATGAAGAAAAAATAAAATAAAAAATAAAAAATAAAAGAAAAGAAAAGGAAGAAATCATGGAAAAAAAAGTAGCAAATCTTAGAAATGCAAATTGGACTTGTTAAATGGAATGGTCCCAGTGTTTATTCCAAGGAAGGATTTGGTCTTAAAAACGAAGGGATTCTTTCTTGCTTAGTAGCTTTCAAATCATGATTCTTGCCGGCTAAAGAACATGGGAATGATCCTCTGTGTGTGTGGTTATCCTTGTATTCGGTGTTGATATGGACCTAACATACATTTTTCTAAATTTTTTACTTACTAACATTATTTTTCTCTTTTTTAAAGTCAAATTCAACTAGAACAAGTTCTGAGAATCATTGATTGTGTTGATTGAACAATGGATGTGCCTATCAAAGTATCAAACTAGAACATATATATATATATACATATTTCACTTTCATTCCCCAAAAGATAAAAAATAAATTTGCTAGCTTGTACTTAGGTATATATTGGTATGGTGCTTAAGAAGACTTTTTTTATTTTGTGTTAGGGAGTAAGTACGTTAAAATAAACTTGATTTATAGAAGATTTAAATTTGATTCAACTCCAACACAAATCTTCTTAAGAAGATTCATATTGGACTCATTGTAAATTTAAAATTTATAAATGAATTTCAAATAGCATGAGATCTTAGCATTCAGTTGTATTCAATTCCTTGCTCAAGAATTGTGCCTAGCTAGAGACTCTATATCCCCACTTTTTATTTTTTATTAAATCACTTATTCTGTTTTTGTGAAGCAAAGTTGATATATATATATATATATATATATATATATATATATATTAAAAGCAAAAGATCGCGCCTAGAGTGCTTAGAAGTAACCTATAGCATCACAAAAGTATAAACCACCACAAACCTTTTCTCACCCTTTGCTTGTATTTGCAGAGATCCTCATTGCGATTACAAAAATAAAGTAAAAGTTACTTTTAATACTACTATATGTTAAAACTACTAAATCTAGTTGTTAGGTTATATTTGATTCTATATAACAGACAAAACTATGGAAAAAGTGTAAGTGAAATAGTTAATAAAACTCTAATACCATTCGTGGATGTTGGAAACTTGCCAAATCCATCCACTAGCATTAAAAGCTCAAAAAGATGGCTATTGTGGGATATCAAACGCTAAATCCCTGTAGCACGGATGTTATATTGTATCAGATTAATTTTATTCTTTAAACGTGTGAGTTGAGATTCGTCAAACCTGGTATACACCATAGTATAGAAGGGGTCATAATTTTAGTAATTTTTTAACTATTTGAAGGAATTTAAATTCAAAAATGCACAATCAAATATATTCTAATTTGAGTTGGACTACTTTATCATAGATTTGAATTGTTTGTTAATGTTTTTTTAATGGTTTATCTTCTTATCATACACTCTTGATAATCACTATTATTACATCATCATAAATACTTAAATCAGAAAAATTTCACATTTCTAGAATGTCATCATTTCATGCTTAGCATCAAAATTGGACTTGGGAGAACTCATATTGAATTCATTAAACCAATTTTAAAAAAGTCAAACACCTCCAAGAGGCCAAAAGAAAAAGAAAAGAAACAAAAGAGCAAAAGACAGTTACTATTATTATTCATTTAAATGGGATGGTCCCAATCTCTATCATTCCAAGGAAGGATTTCTCTCTTAATAACAGAAAATCTTGTTTGGTTCGGAGTTTTCAAATCATGATTCTTGTCGGGGAAAGAAGATGGGAATATGGGGTTGTGGGGCTAAACACTACATATACAAGAAAATTCATACTAATATTTACATCTCCCATCTCCAAAAGGTTATATACATGCTTATCCTTGTATTAGGTTTATTATTACATTGACCCAATAATTTAATTTAATATACGGAGTATATAAATTTTTTTTTTTTTCATTTTTTGGGTCAATCCAAGTCGGACCAAGTTTTCATCATCTTCTATGGTGATGATTGATCCTTGACATGTTGAAGAGTGGTTCAAATTAGACCATCTGATTATCTAAGCCCATTTTGATCAGAGTGAAGCAATCATTTGACTTGGTCAATACCATCATGGGGTCCACTAGCTAGGTTCCATTAGCTAAGAGCCTCATAAGGATTGAGAAAGTTGGATAAACATCATGTGCACTTGGTGGTTCCATACAATATTTTTTCTACTTTTGTGCCTAGATAAAATAATAGTACTCCAATAAAAAAAATGATTTTGCCAGCTTGTACTTAGGGTTTGTTTGTTTTTTTTTTTGTTTTTTTTTTTATTTTTATGTTATGGTTCATTATTAATGTATTTCTTTGTTTTTTTTTTCTTAAAAAAAAAAACTATTTGTTTGGGGTTCATGCACCATGTTTAGTCATTGGTACCTTTGTAAAATATCAATAACACCACTGATGGTTATGATTTATTAATGAGTAGAGTTTTAATTTTGTAAGTAAGGCCATTTTTCTATGTGATTCTTTGAGGAGTGTGCAATATTTTCTAAATGTCCACCCACCCCAACACCAATGGACATGTGTGGGTGTCCCTTTAAAATCCCATTGGGCCATTTTAATTGACCCCAGAATCTTATCTTCCTTTTGGATTCACATGTATGGAACATTACTATGACTTATGCCCAATACAATTGTTTTAAAGGCTTTAAATACAAAATTTTAAGATTTCTTTATTGGATAAATTTGAAAGCATTCACAAGTTTAAGGAAAATGATATTCCCGCCTCTATTTATTAAAACGAAACAATTATGACTATTGATGGACTGAAGTGAGACCAAAAAAAAAGTTAATGACTTTAATTATTTTACTTTGACAAATAGAATTAACTAGTCCGCTGCCCGGATATCAATTTGTAAAATAGCACAAAAGAGCTGGAATAAAGTAATTCTAGTCGACCCCACACCCTACCGAGGGTAGAACTAGAAGCCTAGACAGAGGACACTCAGGACAGTGTTGGGCTGGGCTTGATCATAGTGTTAAGCCAGCTCAATATAAATCATGAGTTCCAGAGATCCACCAAGGTCCAGGCCAATGTATGACGTCCTACTACAATCCCTGTGTTTGGGCTGGGCTATCCTTCAAATAATAACTAGGCCCACTCAAATTCAATTTTCTCTTTGAAATATCAGCAGTAACCAATAAAATTTTAAGCTTTCAATTTAATTGCTTCTGCACTCTTTAGAAATTAATTTAAATTATTTATTATAATTGAAATCTTCCAAGTTTATAAAGCCAAATAACATTTCATGGAGGCTGGCTAGAGTGGACGGGCCATGTGGAGAGCTGCAAGAGGTGATTGGCTTCTTGAATCCACTAACTTCATAGTCATCTCATCTTATCATTTTTTAAGGGCTAATTTGGTATGGTGGAATGAATTGAAATGGAATGAGATTGGAGGTGGGATTAGAATGAGTAGGGAATGGAATGTGGAATGGTCATTCCTTTTGTTGGAATGTCAAATAATTTTAATAGAATGACCATTCTCCAAGAATAATGGAGAATGATGATTCTAAATTTTAAATTCGCATCAAACACAAGAATGAAAAAAAAAAAACTATTTCATTCCACTCTCTTTTATTTCATTTCACCGTACCAAACTAACCCTAAATGTTATTGCAAAAAATTGGTGAGTTGGGTTTATCCTCGTTTACCAATGAGTAATGGTATAATTAATTTTTTTTAACGATTTCAATAAATAATTTATAACAAAAACTTTTGTACAGTAATTAATAAAACAGAGTCTCTTTTTTTAAAATGTTTTGTTCAACGATTATAAAGATTACGAGTAATTGAAAATTTTTAGAATTTTCTATACGAAAAATGGGACAATAATTCATCAATATTTATAATGTGGTGGATTGAAAGAGAATTTTGAAGCTGCCTCTTTGTGAGTTTCAAGGGAGTGATGAGCGGCAGGTCTGGGCTTACTCAAACTATGAGGCTTATTGTGATGAGTCAAATCAACAAATATAGAATTGGAAGTTTGGAAACTCCAACTCCAGCCCAATGGATCGAAGAACTAAGAAGGGTATTTGTCTCTTTTGAATCAGCACCATATCCTCACCACCTCATCTCAGGTGGGTGGGGAGAGGGGGGTAATAAATATATATATATAGACTGGCCAGTCAGTCAAATTGTTATGGATGATAGTTAGGAATGCCTGTCTTTGAACATCGATATATATATATATATATACTTTCCTTGTAGTTTAATTGTTGCTTTAATAGACTTAATTTGTTTGCTTCCCTTGATATTATATATATAAATATATGAAATTATAAACGGAATGTCTACCTCTTTTTTACTTCCAAAAAAAAAAATTGTCTACCTATTTAAAAATAAATAAAAAATAATATTCAAATATCTTGCACCGAATGGAGCGGTAAAAGAGGACCACACGGGTGGTGTTGTGGTCGTCAAGTACTACTACTACTTATTTTAAGGAGAGAGAGAGAGAGAGAGAGAGACAGTAGTATCCAGTTGAATAAACTTGAAGCTAAACCATGAACTCAAAGCTTATCTTGACTGCAACAGTACTTGCAATTGTCTCCATCTTGGCTTCCAAAATAAGCCATGTGCTCACACCACCTCAGATTCCAGGGTCCCATGACAACCTCCACACCGCAGACATACTCCATCTCTCCGGAGCCGTCGGGCCGGAGAGTCTCGCTTTCGATCCCAACGGTGAGGGCCCCTACACCGGGGTTGCTGACGGCCGGATTCTCAAGTGGCAAGGAGATGACCTTGGTTGGATTGATTTTGCTGTCACCACTTCACAAAGGTAACAAATACCTTTTTTTTATTTTACACAGTCTCTTTTATTTTTCTTTTTTTCTTTCTATTTTGGGTCAATTTTAAAATAAAATAATAATAATACTAAATAAATAAACTCTCTCTTGCAACTTTTGCAACTAACTCATTAACTGAATTTGATGTGGAACAATCATATCATGCTAGATTCAGTTCATTTCCCCGTCATGTAGAGTAGCCATAAATGGTGATATGAAGTTCCTAGAATGACCTCATCTTTTGTTAAAAAAAAAAAAATAAAAAAATAATATTTTAGGTGTCGTTTTGAATTAGGTGCTTTTTAAGTGCTTTTGATAAGGCAATGTGGGACTGTGAGTAACACACTTCAAAGTGGGTGAGATTTTTGAACTCATAAAATTCAAAGAATGTAAATATAAAAATAAAAATTAAATGGATTGAGGTCTTTAAACCAGTTGAATTGAGCATTATCTTCTTCTTCTTTTTAATGATTAAATAAATTACTTATGACAAAATCAGACCATATGAGCTGTTCAAGTGGTCTAAGAAATTGTATGATCATACTCCAACTTTAATTATAATGGTTTCTTGGCTGGGATATAATGAGTATAGGATTTGTTAAAAGTGGGTTCAATTCATTTTTGGGTTAGAGAATGATGTGCTTCTGTTTGTAAACTACATCTGGACTCTTACCAATCTAACTACTATATAACAAGCGGTTCCCATCTAGCCTAGCTTATTATGTAAGGCATACATTTATAGAAATAATATACCAAGCCTAGAGCTCAGTTGGACTAGCTGGACATATGATTGTCATCCCTATAAATCATCATAAAATTCATATGTTGTGACCTAATTAATGTAGAAGATGAATTGATTTTATTTTGAAAAAACAGAATATTCATTAACCTATATTGATGTTGACCTTTAAGGTTGTGTTCTTGCTTAAGGAAGGCTCTGTTTTCTACTCTCCTCCATTAGTCAAACCCTTTGCATTAAATTGTATGTACTTTCATTAACTCTGTTCCAGCTAATCAAACCTAAACTTGTGTTCTTAGTTTCACTTGACCTTTAAGGTTGTGTTCTTGCTTAAGGAAGGCTCTGTTTTCTACTCTCCTCCTTTAGTCAAACCCTTTGCATTAAATTGTATGTACTTTCATTAACTCTGTTCCAGCTAATCAAACCTAAACTTGTGTTCTTAGTTTCACTTGACCTTTCGGCCAAGATCTGGAGTTCTTAGTTTCACTACCTGATATTTAAGTCAGGAAGTGAAAAGCTCTGTTTTCACACTTCTAACTTCTCCTTATTCTTATATGTAAGTGTGCATCGAAACTTGTTGTAATGAAATCAGTATTGTTATATTCACAATGGTGTTTATAGTTGGATTTCTTTTAATTTAATGAACCTTGAATATATATATATATTTTTATTTATTATGGAGAAGGAAGGAGTGCGTCCGCCCATTTGCACCGGAAATGGAGCATGTGTGCGGTAGGCCTTTAGGACTACGATTTGATCAGAGAACCGGAGATCTTTATATTGCTGATGCCTACTTTGGCCTTCAAGTGGTAGGACCTGCTGGAGGTTTGGCTACACAACTAGTGACAGAAGTCGAAGGCCAGCCCTTACGCTTCACCAATGATATGGACATTGACGAGCAAGAAGATGTGATTTACTTCACAGACACAAGCACAAACTTCCATAGAAGGTAATTCACAGGGAAGAAAAGCTTTCCTTCTTTACAATGAAATATACCAGTAAGTTTCTGATTGAAAGTAACTTTTCGGGTAAGAATTTAAATTTCTTTACAGGCTAATACAATTGGCTCTTGATGGAGAAAAAGTATGAGGATGCATATTTTTGTTAACCTTCCAAATGCCCTTTTGAATCCCCCTTGCACGTTACTGTGTTCAAGGAATTTTATCATTGCAAACCTTTCTGAAGAAAAATATATTGTCATTGCTCCTACTTTTCAAGAGAGATTAAAAGGGCCATATTAGAGGTTTAATGGAATTACTAATGCCGAGTTTATATGCCACCGTTATCATCTTTGCTTAGATTATTAAGTAATATCTTAGAGCATCTGAATTAATTTTCCTTAAATTGCTTCAATCAATGCCTAATATGCTCTAATTTGTCTTATCTTATGCAGGGAATTCATGTCATCACTTTTGAGCGGCGACAAAACAGGCAGGTTGATGAAATATGACAAATCAAGCAAAGGAGTAACGATCTTACTAAGGGGGCTTGCTTTTGCCAATGGTGTGGCCTTGAGCAAAGACCGGTCCTTCGTGCTAGTAGCCGAAACCACTAGTTGCAGGATCATAAGACTTTGGGTGCAAGGCCCTAACGCAGGACAAATTGATACATTTGCTGAGCTACCTGGTTTTCCAGACAATATTAGAAGGAATTCAAGGGGGGAGTTTTGGGTGGCTTTGCATGCCAAGAGAGGCATTTTGGCAAACTGGGTACTGTCTAATTCATGGGCTGGTGAGAAACTATTAGAGGTTTCACTTAGCTTCAAGCAGCTGCACTACCTCTTAGTAGGAAAGAGGGCCCATGCAGCTGCAATAAAGTTAAGTGGGGAAGGAGAAGTTTTGGAGGTCTTAGAAGATAGTGGAGGAAAGAGTTTGAGGTTTTTGAGTGAAGTAGAGGAGAAAAACGGAAAGTTGTGGATTGGGTCAGTGATTATGCCTTTTATTGGCATTTATAATTTGTACTAAAACATCTACTTGATATGATGGTCTGGAATTTCTTGCTTTCCTTTTTTCTTTTCTTTTTTTCATTTATAATTTGTACTAAAACATCTACTTGATACGATGGTCTGGCATTTCTTGCTTTGCTTTTTTCTTTTTTTCTTTTTTCTTTTTTTTTTTTTTATTTTTTTTTCCTGGTGGTGGGCACATAAGTAGGGTGCATAAGTTTCTATCTGTATATATTTTCTCCTGAATATTTATGGCTTGATTACAAACTTGTTTGAATTGCAATATTCTTTAGAGGGGGGAAGGAAAAAGAAGAAGAAAACGCATGATATTGATCAGTGGTTTGCTGGGCACAAACCTGCATTCCATGGCACGTCAATCTAAATTAGTTCATAGGTTAAACATATTAAGTAAAATTATAATTAATAAAAAGAATGAAAAAAATAATAATTCATGTGGCCGATCCTATTCCTAGAGAAATTATAATTAATAAAAAGAATGAAAAAAATAATAATTCATGTGGCTGATTCTATTCCTAGAGAAATAATGTAAGGATGATGACGACGTCATCGTATTCTTTTAATTTTTTTCAATGTACTCAATTAATATTTTCAATTTAATACTCCAATTTGTTAGAGATGGATCAAACCCCACCAAATTCAATATACTTTTAAGAATCATCTTGTCATACATTAAAAATTATACTTGTAGAATATGCCTAAGTACCTAAGTTTATGTAACATTTAGAAACGCCAAAACAAGTAGGCCCTGATAACATGTACTCCCTCCGTTTTATATTAATAGTTCATTATTTTATTTTTACATGTCCCAAATTAGTTGTCCTCTTTGAAAAATCGAAATATTTTTCCTTTATATTTCTACCATTATCTTTTATTTTTTTAAAAAAATTTAAATTTTGTAACTATATGTATTTAAATTAAAAAAAATAATTTAATAATTTTAAAAGAGAATAATGCATTAATTATATATTCATTATAAATGAATGTGGGACAGAGATGATACAAACCAAGAGGCAATTAATTTTGAGCAAGTTGACTAGGAGATCATACGGAGAAACTTCTTTTTTTTTTTTTTTGTCTTTTTCCATTTGGTTTTTGGACAATTGATTTGGACATTCAAATTGTATAACAAGTTCAAACCAAGAGGCAAGGATAGACGAATTGTAATGAAATTGAAGGGTTGTAAAGACTAGTCACTAGATTCCAAAAGTTTGCTGACTACTCCGTATATATGTAGAGTTGAATTGTAGGTTAGTAGGCTGTGCTTTTCCAAAGAACTAACTCGTCCCACATCGGCTAAAAACTAAAAGACTGTACACTTGATATATGTTTCGTTTACAGCTGACTTGTGTCCCTTCGGGGACATCCGATAAAATTGGAACTTTACAGAGAAGATTAGCATGGCCCCTGCGCAAGGATGACACGCACAAATCGAGAAATGGTTCAAAATTTTTTTTGACATTTTTATCCCTTCTTCGACATCTGCTTTTACAAAAACGCCCTCCTAATTAATCAGTTTCCCACAGTACCCATGGCTTTCTTCCACGTGTCTATTCAAAGCCCACCAGAAGCTTACCGTGTACCTTCCCTCTGCAACTCCAACTTCCTCTTTCATCTCTCTCTCTCTCTCTATATATATATACTCCATCAATTATTGTTCTGGTGACTGTTGAGGGCAACAACTCGAAACCAAGGTTAGTTGTCTCTTCCCTTTTCACTCTCTATTAGGTTCTCTTCATGGCTGTGGCTTACACACAATTATATAATCGTAGGTCTAGATGTACATGGATATCTGTGCTTGATTTTGTTTCTTCTTCTGCTGTTGTTATAGTTAGCATTTTGAGGTAAGGGTTGTTCTAAGTTGTAATTCGGAACCAGTTTTTGCTTCAATGGATTTTTTGGCTTCTCTTGTAGTAGTAGGCTAGTAGCATCACTAATTGTGCTTCTCGTGCCAATTTTTTGTTCCATATTTTCTTCGGAATTCATTAGATTCTTATTTTCGGTGAATGAATTCATTAGTTTTTTTTTTTTTTTTTTCTGTTCATGTACTTGTACTTTTGTCCCTTAATTGGTTTCTTCAATTCATGATTCATCACAAATTGAAATGCAAACAAAAACAGTAGTATTTGCTTAATTCCTAAAATATTTAGGATGCCTTTCCTCACAATAAAAACTAGGCTATCAAACCCTAATTATATTAGTAAAACAGATTTTCTGTATGACTATTGCACCCTTTGGGTTTGGCATGTGAGAATGGGTTTGGGCTGGGTTTGATCATAGCGTCGAGCCAACTCAATATAATCCTTGATTTCCTAAAGATCACTAAGCTCCAGGTCAAGATATGTTGGCCTACTGCTCTACAATCCATGTGTTTTGGCTGGTCTATCCTTCAAACCTAACTAGAAGTATGCAATATTAAGTCTTAACCACTCAAATTCAATTCTCTCTTTCAAAGTATCAGCTGTAACCAATTACAGTTAATATTTTTAAGCTTTCTTATTTAAATTTAGTTTCTTCTACATTCTTTAGAAATTAATTTGAATTATTTATCATAATTGAACTCCTTCCATGTTTATAAGGCCCAAATACATGTCAAAATAACTCTTTCATGGAGGCTAGAGTGGGTGGGGGCTCTTCTTGGGCATGGCAGAGAAGTGTTGTAAAAGGAGGCCATGTGGAGAGTTGCGAGAGGAGATCAATAGGTTAATATCCGAAAAGACTAATGGCTGCTTGAATCCACTAACTTCAGACTAACCGCATCCTATACCTCTACATGTTCTAGGCAAGAAGTGTGTGAGTGTGAGAGCTGGGTTAATCCTCATGTACCAAAACATGTATGGAACATTAATAAGACTGATCACCAGGCCTGGGCTTACTTTATTCCCAACCAAATCAACAACATATAGGCTGCCAAAGTTTGGAAGCTCAGCCAATGGGACTAAGAAGGATATTTGTTTCCTGTGATATCACCACTAATGTCATTGGTGGAGTCCATGCTCCCACTGAAATGATCTGTCTGACTATCGATCTCTAATTTATTACATAAAAATTTCAGGTAGTAGACTATTAGTCTATCTACTAGTTTGATTTAGTTGCACACATTAAAGATTTTTTTGAAAAAGTCCCACTTCATTGTGAAATTTAGTATATATATATCAATATCAACAATTTAAATCAACATTTAAATATATTGAAAGCAGTATCACATAATTCAATTGAGCACTTCAAGGTTTTCAGAAGCATTATCACATGATTTGGTTGAACACTTGGAAGGTTTATATAAAAAAAAAATCTAAATCATTAGAAAAAAGAAAAATGCACTGAATGGAGAGGTTAAAGAAGGCCACCCTGGTTTGTGGGGGGTCTTGAAGTATTTACTTGTGAGAGAGAGATAGGGGGGGGAGGGGACAGCCTAATTTGAGTTCTCTCAAGTCTTAAAAGAGAGAACCCAAATTCACTTATTTCCTGTTCAATCATCTTCAAGCTAAACCATGAACTCAAAGTTCATCTTGACTGCAACAGGTCTTGCATTGTCTCCATCATCTTGGCTTTGAATATAACCCATGTGCTCACACCACCTCAGATACCAGGGTCCCATGACCACATCCACACCGCAGACACAATCCATGTAGCCGTGTCCGTGTCCCGTATCCGTTTTCGTGCTTCTTAGTCTATATGTAATGGAATATCGATGAACTTGTTAGTCAAATTAAAATATTCTCCCGTCCAACCAATATAACTTCATTTTGAGAAGTTCCATATAGTCAAATCCATTGAAATTCAATGCGTCCTGATACTTGAGCATAAGAATGTGAAGAAGTGCTCATGATAGCAAAATAAGATATCCTCATGCAAGTTATTTTGAGATCCTGATGTTGCTTTTAAAGTCATGCAAGTTATTTTGATACTATTACAAAATAAGCAATTTCTGTATTCACAATGATGTTAATGGTTGGATTTCTTTTAATCTAATGACCCTTAATTTTATTAATTTATTTTTATTTTTATTTTTTATGGAGAGGGAAGGAGTGTATCAGCCCATTTTCACCGGAAATGGAGCATGTATGCAGTACGCCTTTAGGACTACGATTTGATCAGAGAACTGGAGATCTTTATATTGCTGATGCCTACTTGGGCCTTCAAGTAGTAGGACCTACTGGAGGTTTGGCTACTCAACCAGTGACAGAAGTTGAAGGCCAGCCCTTACGGCTCACCAACGATATGGACATTTGATGAGCAATACTTCACAGACACGAGCACAAGCTTTCATGTGTGAGCTCACAGAGAATCAAAGCTTTCCTTCTTTACAATGAAATTTACCAGTAAGGTTATTATGGTTGAAAGTAACTTTTCGGGTAAGAATTTTAATCTCTTTACAGGCTAATTCAAACGGCTTTTGAAGGAGAAAAAAGTATGAGGATGCAAATTTTTGCTAGCACATGAATATTTACAATTGTTGATCTTCCAAATGCCCAATAAGGCTTTGTTTGGAATTTCTAGGAGGTCTGAAAACATAGATCATTAGCATGGGGACTCTAGAGTTACAGATTCAAGGAATATTAGCATTGACAGAATGATTAAGATTACAAAGTGCCCTATTAGAGGTTAAAAGGAATTTGTAATGCTGTGTTTACTTGCCACTATTTTCATCTCCATTTAGATTAAGTAATTTTCTCAAGTTGCTTCCAGCCGCTGTCATACAAAATAAAAGCCAACTATTGGCAATGCTAATATGCTCTAATTGTCATTTCTTTAACAGGCAATTCATGGCGGCGACCAAACAAAGGCAAGTTGATGAAATATGAAAAATCAAGCAAAGAAGTAAAGATTTCACTTTTGCCAATGGTGTGGCCTTGAGCAAAGACCGATCCTTTGTGCTAGTAGCCGAAACCAATACTTGCAGGAAGTAGAGGAGAAAAATGGGAAAATGTGGCTTGGGTCAGTGGTTATGCCTTTTATTGGCATTTATAATTTGTACTAAAAGATCTACCTGATCTGTTGGTCTGGCATTTCCTGCTTTCCTCTTCTTTTTCTGTTTTTTTTTTTTCACCTGAAGCACAAGTTTCCATCTGTATGTATTTTCTCCTTAATATTTTTAGGTTGATTACAAACTTGTTTGAATTATAAA